ACTGTATTATTAATTGTATACCGTTGCAACTTTCATCAACTTTGACTGTAATTAAACGTTTCTGTAACTTCAATAAACCTGGATTTCTCCTGTCGGTTTCTAAACCTGGCAACGTAAATAATATTCGCAGCAGCGAATACCAAACGGGATTGCTGCTCGCTCCATTTAACACTCCTCACACCCTTGCGCCGCCAATTTCCATCGATCGACGAAATCGTCGTCTCGTTAAATGCAAAGCTAGAACTCAAAGGTTCTAATTACGAGCGACAACTGATTCGACTTCTATCGATCGAGTCGCATTCCTCGGCTTCGCTCGCCGCTTCTTCCCTCCTCTATCGGACAGTTTTTCTTCCGCGATCATCTACGCGGCCAAACATCTTTGTGTACCATTTTCATTAGAGATCGGGCCGAATTCAACGTGTATTTACAAATTCTCAAGACAAGCTCGATATTTAAATTTCGTTTCATGCGTTTCGAAAATGCTATACTAAAGTAAAAATGTCTCAATTTACAATGCATTCACTTTATCAAGTTCAATGTGTATAGTGTGTAAATTTCGTAATGTATATACATTTTATTTGAGTCAAGTACAAATTACGTATACGTTTAGTTACAAGTTTAATGTATGCATTCCATTAAAGTTCAATGTATACAACGCATTAGTATATCAAGTTCGACATGCATCTATATTTTATGAATGTCGGATGCTGCACGAAAGTAAAAATGTTTTCACGAGTATAATTTATTTTACAGCGTATAGAAAAAAAATAGGGACATCTGAAAATCGTGCAACATCCGGAGACCCTCGGAGCCAAAAGATATATATTGTTAATTATTTCCCAATGTATTCTTCATTGTTATTACTAATTATCAGGCGACTCTTCGTTATCAAAGGCTCGAATGCGAAGACCGAAGATTCAAACCTACTTGCAAAGTAGTCGATCCCATCCTCTGATCCTCGTATCAACATATTCATCCGCTCATAATTCTCGTCGATCGAATTCCACTTCGTTCGGGCGAAACTCCCCTGGGATTCTGATAACACGTTTCGCGGCTCGATTCCGATCGTTTCGCGGTCTACGACCGGCGGTCTCGTAATTACACGACCGAATGAACATGCAAGAAGCCGGCAAGGTACGCCGATTCTGTTCGGTATAGAGGGCGAGGAAGAGAGAGAGAGAGAGAGAGAGAGAGA